CAAAATCGCCGATTCGTAAATATCGCTGACACATCAAAATTCGCGAGAGCATAATTTCGTCAATTTTCCACCAAATTTCGTACTTTTTGTTTTATTACCTTCACAAAAAGATTCTCTACGATTTCATAAGAAAAAATAACAATTTTTTTTTTTTTAAATTCTTGGACACTGGTGCGTGACTCCAGATTTGGGCCTTGGACCCTGAAAGGGTTAAAAAGTAATGTAATAGCATGCGAAAGGACATGGGCCGCTCGCTTGTACAATAATGGTGGGACGTGAGACAGATTCCCAGAGTTATTTTTAAGTGACTTTATGATCGCGGTGACTTCCGTGGGCTTAGTTGGTACAAGATAGAAGGAATTTGGGAAATTCCCATCTAGGTAGTCCCCGGCATGGGCATTTGTACGTGGGATTTTACTAGCGAGAGATTTAAGAATTGTAGTGGCATACACAGTTTGATAAGGCATAGTTTGGCTGCCAGTTCTGACAAAAAAGTGGCTGAAAAGTATGTGCAGGACTTTAACCCTTTGACTGTCGCAACCCCAGATCCTGAGGTGTCTCCTGGTGTCGAAAAATATTCGGAAAAAAACATTATTTTTTCCAATGAAAATTTTAAGATTAATTTTCCGATTGTTTTAAGCCCCCCAAAAAAATTTTTGCGATCAGTACTTACCTTGATATAGAGGCGTAAATTTGGCAGAAAATGAGCCGTGTATGGCAACAGCGGCGAATGCTGCTCACCCGGTAAACTTTGGTTTACTTGCATTCGAAGGTTTCTTGTGTTTTTCACTTATTTTATTTTTTTACATAACTTATGTGGCCTGTGAGACCAAAGTATGGTGCAATGTTCATATATACAGTGGACCCCCGCATAACGATTACCTCCGAATGTGACCAATTATGTAAGTGTATTTATGTAAGTGCGTTTGTACGTGTATGTTTGGGGGTCTGAAATGGACTAACCTACTTCACAATATTTCTTATGGGAACAAATTCGGTCAGTACTGGCACCTGAACATACTTCTGGAGTGAAAAAATATCATTAACCGGGGGGTCCACTGTATATTCATTGAATGTAACACAATTATAGCAAAAACACTAGTTTTATCATATTGTTTATAAAACTTGTTTACACAACTAACAATATAAAAAAATGTTTATTACTATTGTTCTATAATACAGGTCTCCCTCAACATTCACGAGGGTTAGGGGATCAAGAGCCTCGCGATTGCTGAAAAAGCGCGAATGTCTGGTGCCCCAATATATTGTAGGGAAATATAATACAATACTGCTTCCTTAACTTGTTGAACCATGAACAATCATAAAATACATGAAAACGTCGTAAATTGTACTAAACACATACAGGTTATGGTTTAATAACATGTATGCTATTAAATACCACTGCCTCCACCACTGCTTCTACCACTGCCTCCACCACTTCCTCAATCACTTCCTCAATCACTGCGAGTCCCTACTACCTTCCCTCCGACCCCCGCAACTGGCAGCCAGCCCTCCCACCAGTGTGGCGAGTGTTTTATTTGTTCATTATTTGCTATTAAACCACAGTATAAATAATGTAAACCCATTCATGACTGCATATTGGAATGGTTATTCGGACAGGTATTGGATGGTGACATCATGTGTTTACTCTTGAACACAGCAAAGAATCAAACATTTCTGCTACTGCTAAATAATAACAATAGTAGTAGTAGTAGTAATAATAATAATAATAATAATAATAATAATAATAATAATAATAAATATGATAGAATTGAAGAAGGAAATTGTACAAAAATACGAGGGAATGGTTGACACATTGTCAGTGTGGCTTTGTTTATGCTGGAGTGAGCATTAGTTTCGGTGCTCTTCCAAACATTTCACAATAATTCGTTGTGTTTGGTGCTTATAGACTGAGTGCGACTGGAGTGGTAGAGGCAGTGGCTGAGGAAGCGGTTGAGGTAGTGGGTGAGGCAATGGGTGAGGTAGTGGGTGAGGCAGTGGTTGAGGCAGTGGTTGAGGCAGTGGTTGAGGCAGTGAGTGAGGCGGTGGGTGAGGTAATGGTAGAGGCAGTGGTTGAGGCAGTAGGTGAGGCAGTGGGTGAGGCAGTGGGTGAGACAGTGGGTGAGGCAGTATTTGAGGCAGTGGTTGAGGCAGTGGTTGAGGCAGTGGTTGAGGCACTGGTAGAGGCAGCGGTTTAGGTAGCAGTTGAGGCAGTGGTATTTAATAACATGTTAAAAATAATAATAATAATACATATTATTAATAACATGTATTATTATTATTATTATTATTATTATTATTATTATTATTAATAACATGTACATTATTAAATACCACTGCCTCAACCACTGAGTCACCCACTGAGTCACCCACTGCCTCAAATGCTGCCTTACCCACTGTCTCACCCACTGCCTCAACTGCTGCCTCACCCACTGCCTCACCCACTGCCTCAACCGCTGCCTCACCCACTGCCTCACCCACTGCCTCACCCACAACCTCACCCACTGCCTCAACCGCTTCCTCAACCACTGCCTCTACCACTCCAGTCTCACTCAGTCTACAAGCACCAAACACAATGAATTATTGTGAAATATTTGGAAGAGCACCGAAACTAATGCTCACTCCAGCATAAACAAAGCCACACTGACGATGTGTCAACCACTCCCTCGTATTTTTGTACAATTTCCTTCTTCAATTCTATCGTATTTATTATTATTATTATTATTATTACTATTGTTATTATTAGCAGTAGCAGAAATGTTCGATTCTTTGCTGTTCTCAAGAGTAAACACATGATGTCACCATCCAATACCTGTCCGAATAGCCATTCCAATATGCAGTTATGAATGGGTTTACATTATTTATACTGTGGTTTAATAGCGAATAATGAACAAACAAAACACTCACCACACTGGCGGGACGGCTGGCTGCCAGTTGCTGGGGTAGGAGGGAGGGTAGTAGAGACTCGTAGGTGGGGGGAAACTTAAATATGATTTAGCAGCCGGGAATTTGGAGGCTGGGAATTTGGCGGTTGGGAATTCGCGAATGTGTGAAGCCCGCGAAAGTTGAAAACGCGAATGGTGAGGGAGACCTGTATATATACATATGTACAGTCACTGGTCACTTTCCTAGAACTGCTGCAGCTTGTGAAATTCTTTGAAATATGAGTGTATGCACAATGGGGTTTTACACTCCTCACACATAAAACGAGTGTCTCTGTGTTTTTGTGGGTGTTTTGTGGTATGTGCACAGACATAACACCTCTTCTGAGCATTTTTCTTGAAAGTAGTAGGAGGCAATGGTATGGGGTAGTGATCACCAGGCCTCAGACAAGATGGCATGTGTTGGTGATTTTGTGGGCGCTGGTCTATTGCAAGTTTTGTTCCTTGGTACTTGAATATTACAGTATTTGTCTGATAATTGACAAATGAAATTCACCATATTTGAGTTTGTTGTTGGTCTTCAGCTTATACATATTATAAGCATTCATCATGGAAATGTCAAGAAGATAGAAAAAGTTTTACGTACCACTTATAACTCTTACAAACACAATCAGTAAACCCAGTTTGCATGTCACATTTGTCTACTAAGTGCATAATGAGGTTGTAGTACATCACAGCTGCAGGTTTTAAAATGGGCTCATTGGTCTCTCTATTCTGCTTGCCAGTGTCTACCATTTTGTGTCAGTGAACTGATGTCAACAACGTGACATCACGTTTGTCATGCCACCGAAATACCGTGACGTCATTGGTGGCATTTCCTGAACTTCACCTCTACGAGTGCCTGCGTCAAACCTAGGCATATGTCTACGATTTCCACGCACTGTGCCACATACGTCTCTCATGTTCACTCACAAGAAATCAGTGAGTAAAGGGCTTCTGTACCAGTTATCAGTATATAAAATATGCCCCTTACCAAGATATGGTTCCATCATTGTTTTAACCACATCACCAGAGATACCCAGTAACTTCCTGGTATCTTGCAATGTATTACTGCCAGTGTACACAATTATATCCAAAACCAGACCACTTTTGCAATCACACAGTACAAATAACTTTATACCAAAGCATTTCCTTTTGCTTGGTATATACTGCTTGAATGAGAGTCTACCTTTGAACAAAATCAAAGACTTATCAATAACAAGCTTCCTGAAGGGATAAAAATACATACAGCACTTTTGTTTCAGGTACATGAACACATTCCTGATCTTACATAACCTGTCGCTTCTGTCAGGCCTTGTTTTGTCTGAAAAATGTAGCATATGTAACAGTGGCACAAATCGATTCACTGGTATAATGTCACTGAAAGCTGGGGTTGAAATCAGGCGGTCTCTCGACCAGTATGTGTTGACACTGTGCTTATACACGTGGCATAAGCATTATGGTGTACTCGAAGTATGTATTGCTTTCCCTGACAATAGTGTCAGGGACTGAAAGCATTCCAGTTCAGTAGCATTGTTCCCAAGTGTACATAATGGCCATATTCAAAGTGATGGGGATTGGGAACAAAATTGTCACCTTGCTGCCAATCCCAGATGCAGTCTGCTGGTGAGTACTGAATATTTACAGGTAGTTGTGGTTGTGAAGGTTGTGGTTGTGCAGGTTGTGGTTGTGGATGTTGTGGGAATGTGGGGTGGTTGAGGTGGTTGTGGCTGTGCTGAGTTAGTAGCATGGCCCGCTGCTGGTGCCATATGACTCATGTCGCCAACATCACCTGCTGCCCCACGCACATCATTCATCCCCATTGTAACAGTATCGTCATCTTCACTATCAGTTCATGGTGTAGTGCCACGGGATGTACTCCGAGATTTACTCCTTTCCCTTGGAAGAGCATATGGCACATTACCAGAATGCATGCTGCGTCATACATACTGCCATTTCACTGGAGAATATTCACCCTCACTGTCGCAACTAGAACTGCTTTCAATAGCTTTGAAATCACTATCACTTTCGCTGCTCACATCTGAGTCTTGTACACGGGCAAATAGTTTCCTCTTTCATCCTGGTACAGGTGAACGTGAATGAGATGGCCCAGCACCAGAGGTGGAAGGTTGTGGGTCATCTGGATTTTCATCACTAATTACGTTATCCTGGGCACTGCTTTCGGTCACACCCTCTCCAAAACCATGAAATTCACTTTAACTGGCACTTCCATCGCTGTTAGAGCTATCACCTGGGAACAAAAGACCTCCAATCCACTGAGGAGTGAGGTACGTACTTCTTACCGCGAGGCATGGTGAAAATGGACTACCAAGATGGCGTTCCCACAATGCACCACTGAGTCCCCAAAAATCACAGGGTGCACACCCACCACACAGATCCATTCTCTCACATGTAGGCCTACCAGCTTTCTCCCACTTGATTTGAAGCCACTAGAATTTATGCGTATTAATACGTCAAACACAGTAGCTCATAGGATGTATATATATGACTGAAACAGTCAAAGGGTTAAGGGGTACATAGAGGCTGAAAAATTAAAAACCCCAACAAGTGCTCAGTTGTGATGAAACAGGCCTGTTTTGGAAGAAAATGCCAAACAGGACCTACATTACTCAGGAGGAAAAGGCACTTCCAGGACACAAGCCTATGAAAGACAAGCTAACTCTCATGTTTTGTAGTAATGCTAGTGGGGATTGCAAAGTGAAGCCTTTACTCGTGTATCACTCTGAAACTCCGAGTGTGTTCGAGAAAAACAGTGTCGTCAAGACTAAATTGTGTGTGATGTGGAGAGCAAACAGTAAGGCATGGGTCACTAGGGGCATTTTCCTCGATTGGTTCTATGACGTGTTTGGCCCCAGTGTGAAAAAATACTTCCTGGAAAATAAATTGCCACTCAGGTGCCTCCTGTTAATGGACAGTGCTCCTGCACATCCTCAAGACTTGGAAGAGCAAATTGTGGGGGAGTTTAGTTTTATTAAAGTGAAGTTTTTGCCTCCTAACACCACTCCTCTCCTCCAGCCCATGGACCAGCAGGTCATTTCAAACTTCAAAAAACTGTACACCAAAGCAGTTTCAAAAGTGCTTTGAAGTGACCTCAGACACTGAATTGACCCTAAGAGTGACTTGCAGGACTTCGAACTCTGCTTGGAGAAAATTGTGGCCACAATGTGTACAAGAGAGGGATTTTGAAGGGTTTGGGGCTAACCCTGAGAAGCCTATGCCAGTTGTGGAATCTATTGTGGCATTGGAGAAGTCCATGGGGTTGGAGGTTAGTGGCGAGGATGTGGAAGAATTGGTGGAGGACGACGATGAAGAACTAACCACTACAGAGTTGCAAGAGCTTCAGGTGCAACAGCAACAGACCACAGCTCAAGAATTTCCTTCAGAGGAGGAGGAAGAGAGATGGAGGAAGTTGCGTTCGTCAAAGATTAAGGACATTTGTACAGTGTGGACAAAGGTGCAAGCACTTATGGACGAACATTACCCTGACACAGCTGTTGCAGGCTTTATTGGCAACATGTATAGTGACACTATTGTGTCCCATTTTAGGGAAATCTTTAAGAGACGCCAGAAACAGAGCTCTCTGGACAGATATTTGGCGTGACAGGGGTTCAGTGACTCAAGCTCGTCCTAGTGGCATTAAAAAACAAAGAAGGGAGGTAATCCCAGAAAAGGACTTGTTACCTGAAGTCTTTATGGAAGGGGATTCCCCTTCCAAATTGTAAACTCCTCCATCCTCTGCCCTCCTCCCATCTCATCAATAAGTCCTCAATAAAGGTAAGTGTCATTTCAGTATTTTTTATTGTGCATGTCTCATTGTTTTCTGTGTAGGGAAATGTACATGTCATGTAAAAAAAATTATTTTGTTTAATACTTTTGGGGGTCTGGAACGGATTAATTGGATTTCCATTAGTGTATTTCTTATGGGGAAAATTAATTCAGCTAACAGCAAAATCAGTTAAAGGTGAGCTCTCTGTAACGGATTAATGCTGTTACCCGAGGGTCCACTGTAATTGGATTTCCATTATTTCTTATGGGAAATATTATTTCAGTTTTCATACATTTCAGATTTAGAATGACCTTCTGGAACGGATTAAGTACAAAATCTGGGGTTCCACTATATTCAGTTTTCTGAAAGACATTATGTATGTCAAGGTACAGGTCCGCCATCACAAATCCGGCAATCAGTTATTCGGTTCCTTCAGTTATTCGGCACTAATTTTCGCTAGCATAATTTCAAATTTCCAGGGTCGCCACACCAACCTGCTGGTACTGTGTGGTGGCGCTACTTGCTGCATAAGTCATTCCAATTTCTTTTTCTCCATTTATTGTTTTAACCTGCTTACTTTTAGCCCTAGCCATGGTTCCAATGAATAAAAGAAATGCTTCTCATTATGTAGAGCACCTACACAGTATATTATCCATTAAAGATAAGGTGGCTTTAAAGCCACTGTCGGTTACCATGAGCTCAGTCTCATGAAGCAGGAGAATATGCTTTATTATACGCTAATATCAACACTACAGCTTATTTGCCTATCACAATTGATCTAATATGACATAAGAAACAATATAAATAACATAAAACATGTTAAATACTCCAGGAATGAATAATATTTGGCATAACACTGAGCAGTTCAACGGAGGTATGAAGAGGATATGGTATACAAATACCATTCTCATATCCCTGTCTTGGGGGCTTATATTAGAGAAAACAGAGTATAGCACACGGACAACTGTGATATACACTCGTTCTGCACCATAAACATGAAACAAAAGTTATTTTCTCTAAAGATTATCACACATAGACGCATATGTGTAGAGAACCTAGGATAACCCAAAAAAGTCAACGTGGCTTATTTTTAGTACCTGGCTTGGGTTAGCCATATATGATTTTTGGTAAATATTCGATTCCCAGCCAGGGTAGAAACATTAGGCGTGTTTCTTTACACCTGTTGTCTATGTTTACCCATCAGTAAATGGGTACCTGGGTGTTAGTCGACTAGTCTGGGTGTTACCCTGGGGCACTGACCTAATTTTCTTGAAATACTCTGCATAACAAGCAGCTTTCTATACAGTAGTATGTCACTGATGTCAGCTAGGCCTGCATACCATGTACATGTACGTGTAGCAAATAAAGATATTATTATTATTATTATTATTATTTTTTTTATTATTTTTTTTATCACACTGGCCGATTCCCACCAAGGCAAGGTGGCCCGAAAAAGAAAAACTTTCACCATCATTCACTCCATCACTGTCTTGCCAGAAGGGTGCTTTACACTACAGTTTTTAAACTGCAACATTAACACCCCTCCTTCAGAATGCAGGCACTGTACTTCCCATCTCCAGGACTCAAGTCCGGCCTGCCGGTTTCCCTGAACCCCTTCATAAATGTTACTTTGCTCACACTCCAACAGCACGTCAAGTATTAAAAACCATTCGTCTCCATTCACTCCTATCAAACATGCTCACGCACGCCTGCTGGAAGTTCAAGCCCCTCGCACACAAAACCTCCTTTACCCCCTCCCTCCAACCTTTCCTAGGCTGACCCCTACCCCGCCTTCCTTCCACTACAGACTGATACACTCTTGAAGTCATTCTGTTTCGCTCCATTCTCTCTACATGTCCGAACCACCTCAACAACCCTTCCTCAGCCCTCTGGACAACAGTTTTGGTAATCCCGCACCTCCTCCTAACTTCCAAACTACGAATTCTCTGCATTATATTCACACCACACATTGCCCTCAGACATGACATCTCCACTGCCTCCAGCCTTCTCCTCGCTGCAACATTCATCACCCATGCTTCACACCCATATAAGAGCGTTGGTAAAACTATACTCTCATACATTCCCCTCTTTGCCTCCAAGGACAAAGTTCTTTGTCTCCACAGACTCCTAAGTGCACCACTCACCCTTTTCCCCTCATCAATTCTATGATTCACCTCATCCTTCATAGACCCATCCGCTGACACATCCACTCCCAAATATCTAAATACATTCACCTCCTCCATACTCTCTCCCTCCAATCTGATATCCAATCTTTCATCACCTAATATTTTTGTTATCCTCATAACCTTACTCTTTCCTGTATTCACTTTTAATTTTCTTCTTTTGCACACCCTACCAAATTCATCCACCAATCTCTGCAACTTCTCTTCAGAATCTCCCAAGAGCACAGTGTCATCAGCAAAGAGCAACTGTGACAACTCCCACTTTATGTGTGATTCTTTATCTTTTAACTCCACGCCTCTTGCCAAGACCCTCGCATTTACTTCTCTTACAACCCCATCTATAAATATATTAAACAACCACGGTGACATCACACATCCTTGTCTAAGGCCTACTTTTACTGGGAAATAATTTCCCTCTTTCCTATGTACTCTAACTTGAGCCTCACTATCCTCGTAAAAACTTTTCACTGCTTTCAGTAACCTACCTCCTACACCATACACCTGCAACATCTGCCACATTGCCCCCCTATCCACCCTGTCATACACCTTTTCCAAATCCATAAATGCCACAAAGACCTCTTTAGCCTTATCTAAATACTGTTCACTTATATGTTTCACTGTAAACACCTGGTCCACACACCCCTTACCTTTCCTAAAGCCTCCTTGTTCATCTGCTATCCTATTCTCAGTCTTACTTTTAATTCTTTCAATAATAACTCTACCATACACTTTACCAGGTATACTCAACAGACTTATCCCCCTATAATTTTTGCACTCTCTTTTGTCCCCTTTGCCTTTATACAAAGGAACTATGCATGCTCTCTGCTAATCCCTAGGTACCTTACCCTCTTCCATACATTTATTAAATAATTGCACCAACCACTCCAAAACTATATCCCCACCTGCTTTTAACATTTCTATCTTTATTCCATCAATCCCGGCTGCCTTACCCCCTTTCATTTTACCTACTGCCTCACGAACTTCCCCCACACTCACAACTGGCTCTTCCTCACTCCTACAAGATGTTATTCCTCCTTGCCCTATACACGAAATCACAGCTTCCCTATCTTCATCAACATTTAACAATTCCTCAAAATATTCCCTCCATCTTCCCAATACCTCTAACTCTCCATTTAATAACTCTCCTCTCCTATTTTTAACTGACAAATCCATTTGTTCTCTAGGCTTCCTTAACTTGTTAATCTCACTCCAAAACTTTTTCTTATTTTCAACAAAATTTGTTGATAACATCTCACCCACTCTCTCATTTGCTCTCTTTTTACATTGCTTCACCACTCCCTCTTTTTCTCCATATACTCTTCCCTCCTTGCATCACTTCTACTTTGTAAAAACTTCTCATATGCTAACTTTTTCTCCCTTACTACTCTCTTTACATCATCATTCCACCAATCGCTCCTCTTCCCTCCCGCACCCACTTTCCTGTAACCACAAACTTCTGCTGAACACTTAACACTACATTTTTAAACCTACCCTATACCTCTTCGACCCCATTGCCTATGTTCTCATTAGCCCATCTATCCTCCAATAGCTGTTTATATCTTTCCCTAACTGCCTCCTCTTTTAGTTTATAAACCTTCACCTCTCTCTTCCCTGATGCTTCTATTCTCCTTGTATCCCATCTACCTTTTACTCTCAGTGTAGCTACAACTAGAAAGTGATCTGATATATCTGTGGCCCCTCTATAAACATGTACATCCTGAAGTCTACTCGACAGTCTTTTATCTACCAATACATAATCCAACAAACTACTGTCATTTCGCCCTACATCATATCTTGTATACTTATTTATCCTCTTTTTCTTAAAATATGTATTACCTATAACTAAACCCCTTTCTATACAAAGTTCAATCAAAGGGCTCCCATTATCATTTACACCTGGCACCCCAAACTTACCTACCACACCCTCTCTAAAAGTTTCTCCTACTTTAGCATTCAGGTCCCCTACCACAATTACTCTCACTTGGTTCAAAGGCTCCTATACATTCACTTAACATCTCCCAAAATCTCTCTCTCTCCTCTGCATTCCTCTCTTCTCCAGGTGCATACACGCTTATTATGACCCACTTCTCGCATCCAACCTTTACTTTAATCCACATAATTCTTGCTTTTACACATTCATATTCTCTTTTCTCCTTCCATAACTGATCATTCAACATTACTTCTACCCCTTCCTTTGCTCTAACTCTCTCAGATACTCCAGATTTAATCCCATTTATTTCCCCCCACCGAAACTCCCCTACCCCCTTCAGCTTTGTTTCGCTTAGGGCCAGGACATCCAACTTCTTTTCATTCATAACATCAGCAATCATCTGTTTCTTGTCATCTGCACTACATCCACGCACATTCAAGCATCCCAGTTTTATAAAGTTTTTCTTCTTCTCTTTTTTAGTAAATGTCTACAGGAGAAGGGGTTACTAGCCCATTGCTCCCGGCATTTTAGTCGCCTCATACGACACGCATGGCTTACAGAGGAAAGATTCTTTTCCACTTCCCCATGGACAATAAAAGAAATATAGAAGAACAAGAGCTATGTAGAAAAAGGAGAAAAACCTAGATGTATGAATATATATATGCATGTGCATGTCTGTGAAGTGTGACCAAAGTGTAAGTTGGAGTAGCAAGATATCCCTGTTATCTAGCGTGTTTATGAGACAGAAAAAGACACCAGCAATCCTACCATCATGCAAAACAGTTACAGGTTTCTGTTTCACAGTCATCTGGCAGGACGGTAGTACTTCCCTGGGTGGTTGCTGTCTACCAACCTACTACCTATTATTATTATTATTATATTTTCTCAGTTGTTTGTTGGGTTATCTTATTCAAACTTGGGCAATGTATGATGGAAAGATACTTCTTCACGTACACCAAAAATGAAAGAAATCAGACCATAAATAGCGGAGTTCACTTCTCAGCCATTAGCGGCCACTTAGCGGTATATTTTTGTATGGTTGTTATGGTTATATTCTCATTTTTTTGGTCTCATTTGATAGAATGAAAGATATATTACAGAAATAGATATGATTTTGATTGCTTTCGTGACAAAAAGTACCTTGAAATTGCGCTCACAGTAGCGAAAATGTTCTATTCTTTAGCGAAGGTCAAGAGTAAACAAATACCGTCCAATACCTGTCTGCCTGCCAGTCCAAATCCCAATACGGAGTCAAGAATGGCTTGACATTATTTATACAATTATTACAATAATGCAGCAGTCTGCATAACAGTAAATCTTCTATTTTTTTGTGAATAAAAATTCCAAATGAAAAGCAAGAGTAATATAAGAGGGACCTGTAGCCATGACTAATGAACAGAGAAAATGTTATTTTAGTGCCAGGAATGTCTGCATTGTTTATTCTGGATCCTATTTTGAAATTGGCATCTATTGAAATTTGTGTGAAATCGGCCAAATTGCCAATTTCTGACCACTTTATTGGGTAGTTGAAATAAGTGAATGGGCAGTTTCTTGTACTCAGTTGACAGACTAGAAGTAAATAAGTTTATTTAGGTACAGTGGAACCTCAAAAATCGAACTTAATCCGTTCCAGGAGCTAGTTTTAAATTCGAAAAGTCTGAAATTCAAAGCAATATTTCCCATAAGAAATAATGGAAATACAATTAATCCGTTCCAGAAAACCAAAAATATTCACACAAAAAATACATTTTATAGAGATTAATTGCAGTTTTACATACAACAAATACTATAGTTTTTAATTATGTATAGTAATACATATAAAATAACATTTTTACTTACCTTTATTGAAGATTGGTGATGGCATCTGGAAGATAGGGAGGAGGAGAGAGGGAGTTGTGGTTAGTGTTTGGAAGGAGAATCCCCCTCCATGAGGACTTCAGGTAAAGCCCTCTCTGGGGTTACTTCCCTTCTGTCTTTTAATGCCACTAGGACCAGCTTGAGAGTCACTGGACCCCTGTCTCGCAAAATAACTGTCCACAGTCCTCTGTTTCTGGCACCTCTTTAACATTTCCCTAAAATGGGACATGGTTCTGTCACTGAACTTGTTGCAAAGATGGCTTGTTTCAGCTTGCTCAGGGTGGTACTTCTGCACAAACATTTGGACATCATTCCACTTGGCACAAATCTCCTTAATCTTTGAAGAAGGCACCTCATCCACTCCCTATATTAACACCTTTCGCAACATCAGCTTCCTTGATTTGTTCTTTCTTTGACAGGATAGAACCGATGGTCGACTTGTTTTTTCCCATGCATCCTGGCAAGCTCAACAAGTCTCACACCACTCTCATACTTCTGTATTATTTCCTTCTTCACATCTATGGTGTTTCTCACTTTCTTTACCACAGGGGTACCACTAGCAAGTTTCTTTGGGCCCATGGCAGCTTATTTCACAGTCCCACAAGCACTAAACACAACAAAATAATTGTAAAATGTGTAAATGAGAGCGCAGGTTAATGTTCACTCAAGCATAAACAAAGCTAGACTGCTCACGGCGCCTGCGTGGGGACGCGGACGGAGCGGGCGGCAGACAGGTCCCGTACCCGGCGGTCCGAAAATAGGGGCACGTTCGATAATAGGGACACAGTTTGTCCGAAAAAATGGTCCTTTTTTCGAAACGTTCGATATGTGATACGTTCGATTTTTGAGGTTCCACTGTATACACAAATACAGTTACATAGATTACCATACATAGCAGTGTATGTATAGAGAACCTAGGATAACCCAGAAAAGTCAGACAAAGTGACTTATTTCCAGTACCTGGCTTGGGCTTGCCATATATGATTTTTGGTAAATGTTTTTTTTTTTCTCGGTTGTTTGTTGGGCTATCTCATTGAAACTTGGGCAATGTATGATGGAAAGATGCTTCTTAACGCACAACAAAAATAAAAAAGACAGACGATAAATAAGGGAGTTAACTTCTCAGCCATTAGCCGCCTCTTTGCAGTGTATTTTCATATGGTTTTTAAGGTTGTATTCTCATTTTTTGGGGTTCATTTGATAGAATGGAAGATATATTACAGAAATAGACATGATTTTGATTGCTTTCATGACGAAAAATACCTTGAAATTGAGCTCAAAGTAGCGGAAATGTTCGATTTTTGCCGATGTTCATTGAACTGTGTAAGTCAAGTTGGTTAATTTTATTAAGTGTATTCTAACGTAACCACTCTGTAATCCGGCAAACTCAGTAATCCGGCACACTACAGGTCCCAATGATGCCGGATTTGTGATGGAGGACCTGTATGTATAAGTTCTGAAAGGTATTTACGTATACCAAATAGGAATACCTCATTATAAATCATGAAACTAGAATTTTTTTTACCAAATGCAATGTACTAGTCTTTTCTGTTACTATTTCATTTGGTGAATATATATTTTAATATTCAGTGCTGGGCTCAGTGTTAGATGTACAGAGATTATGAAAAAATATAAATTCTAACAAATTAAAAAAATTAATATATTCTTAAGATAATCTTGAGGCAATGATGCATCTAAAAAAATTTCTACAAAATCTGTCAAATTATTTTCAGTTAATATAATCTAGAATAATAACTCTTATAAAAAAATCATTTGCTTCCTAGGTTTTGTTACCATTTCTCTTATTGTAGCCTCTTTAATTTAGTAATTTAAAAATATTTTTTATAAAACCATTTATCTCCATGGTGTATGAATAATTACTGTTTTTATCAGTTTCCTTTTTCATTGCTTCTGATAATTAAAAAACTTATTTACTTGTATCTCACTTACAGGATGTCATCTATAATGGAACCATTGATAGATGCAATAATAGTATCATCACTAAATGCTGGTACAGACTGTATCCAGGTATGTCCTGTTGCTAAGTTCTTTCTGTGTGGAGTCCATGTATTTTTTAAACTTGCCAAGAAAAATGCCCTAAAATTTTAATCGATCAATCAACATTCAGTAGTTAATTCTCTGCAGGTCAAAAATATTTAGGTTCTGTATATAAATTTTAGTGCTATCAGTGACATATTTTGGTGCTGTTCTTTCAAGAAATATTGCTTTTCAGTTCAGTAAACATTTTGTTGAACAGGCAAAAATTTTATATTTTTTCAAGGCGATTGTGGCCAGGTATTGGTTATCCTTATGAATATATTTGTATACAGGTCCCAAGTACTACATATAAATTTTGGTATGCAGTAGGGCCCCACTTATACGGCAGGTTAGGTTCCAAGCTACTGCTGTAAAGCAGACATCGCTGGAAAGCAGAACGTCATTTTTTTTCTACTTATAAATGGATATAAATGCTAGATAACAAGTTTACATTAATATATATTAAGTTAGCAATAGAACTAGGCATTAAAAACAAGGACCATAACATTGTATCAATCGCATCTGCTAGAAAAATGACAGGATGGATAATGAGAACCTTCAAAACTAGGGAGGCCAAGCCCATGATGACACTCTTCAGGTCACTTGTTCTATCTAGGCTGGAATATTGCTGCACTCTAACAGCACCTTTCAAGGCAGGTGAAATTGCCGACCTAGAAAATGTACAGAGAACTTTCACGGCGCGCATAACGGAGATAAAACACCTCAATTACTGGGAGCGCTTGAGGTTTCTAAACCTGTATTCCCTGGAACGCAGGAGGGAGAGATACATGATTATATACACCTGGAAAATCCTAGAGGGACTAGTACCGAACTTGCACACGAAAATCACTCACTACGAAAGCAAAAGACTTGGCAGACGATGCACCATCCCCCCAATGAAAAGCAGGGGTGTCACTAGCACGTTAAGAGACCATACAATAAGTGTCAGGGACCGAGACTGTTCAACTGCCTCCCAGCACACATAAGGGGGATTACCAACAGACCCCTGGCAGTCTTCAAGCTGGCACTGGACAAGCACCTAAAGGCAGTTCCTGATCAGCCGGGCTGTGGCTCGTACGTTGGTTTGCGTGCAGCCAGCAGCAACAGCCTGGTTGATCAGGCGCTGATCCACCAGGAGGCCTGGTCACAGACCGGGCCGCGGGGGCGTTGACCCCCGAAACTCTCTCCAGGTAAACTCCAGGTAAACTGCACCCATTACCTACCTTAAAATATTTGTAGTCCTAATGCAGGGTGAGAGGTGAGTTTTATTTGTAGGAAGTCAGGTTTGGGAGGTATGATAGCCAGCCAGGTCAGCCCACCCCTCCCACACGTAATATGCTATGACATTTAATTAAAGCGCCCCAGAGCGATAAAATACATATACAGTACATTCATTAATTACCTTAAAATATTTGTAATCTTAATGTAGGATGAGAGGTGAGTTTTACTTGTAGGAAGTCAGGTGGTAGCCAGCCAAGGCAGCGCTCCCCACTCCACCCCACCCACATGTAATGTAAACAAACCAGGTGAACGCATCTGGTTTTCATCAATTTACATTGTGTACAAGTTGTCTCCACGTTGATATAGTAGAATAAATAAAGAAAAACACTCCCATTCTCCTGTAACACCATTTTTAGAAGAAATGAGACTCTGAGTGAAGGCATACGAAAGGAATAATTTTCTAGTTACCCCCAGTAATATTATAGTGACGTTTTCTCAGATGTTGGGTTAGAAGTCACCTGGCTACCACAAGTCCTACAAGTCGCCTGGCTACTATCATGTTTATATGTTATGTAGTGTGTTTTATTATATAATTTTGAAAAAAAATATCATAGATGGATCAATGGAAATGTCTATATTAACGTAATATACGATATTTAATGCGCCCAAAAGATTAAGTATTACGTCAAGAGTAGAGAGACTCTTGGTGATTTTAATGTGTACCTGCATGCCAGCACAGTGTGTAAGTATATTTAGGTACAGGTACATATAAGAGTACATATACAATATGCAATACCTTTAACTCCTTGACTGTCACAACCCCAAATCCTGAGGTATCTCCTGGTGTCGCAAAATTTCCGAAAAAAGTTATTTTTTCTTATGAAATAATAGAGAATTTTTTCCTTATTGTAACGACACCAAAAGAATGAAATTTGATGGAAAACTGACGGAATTACGCTCTCGCGAAGTTAGCGACCTCGGCTATATTTACGAATTGGCAATTTCGCCCACTTTGAGCCCTATTTTCGGCTAATTCCATTGTTCCAGTCAACCAATCTCATAGCTATTTCTTTAGAACTCCATTTGTTCTATCGATTGAGTACAGGAAACTGCCCATTTACTGATTCAACTACCCAATAACATGGTCAGAAATTTGCAATTTGGCCAATTTCACGAAAATTAAAAAAATATGACAATTTTAAAAAAAAAGGGGTCCAGAATGAACAATGCAGACATTCCTTGCTCAAAAATAACATTTTCTTTGTTCATCAGTCACGTCTCCAGACCCCTCTGATATTACTCTTGCTTTCTATTTTGAATTTTTATTCAGACAAAAAATAGATTTACTGTTGTGCAGACTACTTCAATATTGTAATAATTGTATAAATAATGTCAACCTATTCATGACTGCATATTAGAATGGCTACTTGGACATTTATTGGAAAAGGACATCATTTCCCCTACTTTGAGCTCCATTTCAAGGTTCTTTTCATAGTAAAACCAATCAAAATCACCTCTATTTCTATAATATGTTTTCCATTCTATCAAATGAGACCAAGACGAGAATACAACCATAAATGCTATATGAAAATAGACCACAAAGTCATCATTTTAATTAAAAAAAAAACGGTCGGAGTTTTTTTTTCTCATTCACTGCATGCTGCAGGATTTTTTTTATGTGGTGCACACTGACCACACAGACCCATTCTCTCACATGTGGGCCTTCCAGCTTTCTCCTGCTTGATTTGAAGCCGCTAGAATTATTGAGTATATATACGTCTGAAACACTGGCTTGTAAGACGTATGTATACGGCCGAAACAGTCAAAGGGTTAAAACACTTGAAAAATTTGGAAAGTTTCCTGACATAGAGAGGTGCTCTCAGAGAATGTAAACAAACCAAGTGGGGCACGCCATATTTGAAAGAACGCTCACTGTGTAGCAAGTTTTGGTCATAATTTGAAATCACCATATTAGTGGAACACTGTAAGGCAAAATGCCATAAAGCAGGGCCCTACTTTATAAGTATTGTAATCATTTTGAAAAATGAGAATTTAGGATGAAGCCTCTTCGATGTCTTTTAGCACACTTTCTGCATGTTGAAACGATGATGTACCTCCTATGGAAGTATAATATTGCTTATTGTTCACATGGCCTTATTATAAATATTTGTTATTTTTAAAAAAGAACTGTTTTTTTATATTTATTATCTTTCAGGTTTATGATGGTGCCACTGGAACTCAGTTAAAGAGCTATCGAGGACTCCCTGTTGCATCATCAACACTGTGCTTGGTTGGTAGGTAGTCTTTTGTGTTATTGTATTGTCATAAGCTGGAAATAATTATTGCTTTTATTGCAGAAATGCTGTATCTTAAACTATGTATGTACTCTACATACAGAATACAAAATGTACAAAAGACCGTCATTTAGGACGAGTTTATTTGGCACGATTTGGGTATTGCACGATTGAAGAATTGCAGCACAGTTATGTAACACGTCATATAATTAATTTAACACAGTTCAGTTTGTGAGAAGGAAAAAAAATTCTCTTTCGCTCTAGTGGCTGCCTTGTTGTGGAGCAGCCGGGGAGCCCTCCCACCATCCCCTGCCACTCCCCAACACCACCCCACTATCCCAGTGTTCGTAATTCATACGTGTCCAGTCTTTCTCTGCTACAAGGCAGCAGTGTTTGTGAATTGTGTTATGATATTTTAATTACTATATCTTGTATCTGCCAAGCAATCATGACACCCAGTAGCCATACCAGTGTTGCTGAAAGTGGCACGAAGAGGTATAAGCACTTAAGTCTTAGAATTAACAAAGAAGCAAAGATATTAGACAAGAGATAACCTGTAGCCATAATGATGTGTTACTTTGTACACAGAAAAAGAGGTAAACATGAGTTTGTGTTACTGACTGAATGACTAACTTACTGAATGACTGACATAATAACTGACTAAACTGACTATAACGGGATTATTTGGTAGGCTGTAAGCGGGTGGTTCAATGATAGACGTCTTCTTCGGAGGCTTCTTACTTTATTGTTAAGTCGTGGTGGGTACACAGGCTTGTGTTGTGCCCATGGCCCGGGAAGGGCCATCCCACGAGAGAGAGCTAATAGTACTTGTGTCTTGCTGCTAGGCCGCTGTGTGAGTGAGAGCGTGGCAAGGGCCGGCAGGCTGGCGTGCCCACCGAGAGGCCTGGCTACAGAGGGCAGCATCTGAGTGGTGCGAAATATGAACTAAGCTGGCAGACAGCATGGGCAGTCTGTGCAGACAGTACAGGCTGTCTACATACGCTCGGCCACCTACCGCTCGTCGTCCCGACCCGACAATACTGGTGGTAAAAGAATCTCGGTCTCTCTCTCGTAGGAAAAGGGCACAGAACACAAAATAAAAACATATATATACATATGGACATGAAAAAAAAACTTCCTACAGGGAGGGAAGAAAAAAACAAGTGGGGGTGTGCTAAACATCGTGGTCATAGGCAGTGAGCGTTGATGGGCATCACTGCACGCCTTCCTGTGTCTGGACAGATACTGCAACACAGGAGACATCGCTGTGGCTGAGCTGTGACGTAACAGGTTACGGTCTCCTCTGGAACGGTGAAGCAGTCATCGTAGGAGTCGCTGCAGGTTTCACTCAACTTGGGGCACGACATGCTGGTGCCCTCGAGTGAGGCGTCGACAAAACTCGGCAACTGGGCAGGACTTCTGGCAAGCGACTCAGGAGGACACTTCTCGACTGGTACTGTCGCTGGGCTGTCACTGCCGGCGAGCGTGGAGTGAGTTGTGGAGCAAGTCGTGGCAGAGACTACTGGGCGAAACATCTGGGAGTCGTAACATCATACACCAGACTGCAGTGAGCGAGCTAGCAGTCAAAGTGACATCTTCTTTGTGCAGGCTGCTCACTGAAGCTTGTGACACGAGGCTGACACAGTGTGTCATTCTCTCGACAGTTGGAGTTATAGCAGAGGTTAGTCTAAGCGTCCCCAGACTTGTTTCTCTACATATAACTGCACTCTGAAGGTCTGGAGGTGAAGTGAAACAAATCTCGATGGGAATCGTAGTATCATGTGGGAGTTCGACTCGTGGATTAGGTAAGAAATACTCACATAGGCTGTTATTACGTATAATTACAGATATGTGGAGAGAGCCCTTACAGCCGTGGCGTATCTCACTCGCTCCTCTCGTAACACTGACTGGCCGCCCACAGTACCCTATGTGAGGGGGCCTTTGATACTGCTGAGGTCAGCACAATATGAATTCAGATAGTGACTCAGGCAGAGACGGATGGTCGTTGAGTCAACGGTACCTGGTTACTGGTAACTGGTTACTACTACTGAGAGTAGCAGGTACGATTCTGCAGAACATCACGAGCGACGAGCATAAAAGCTTTCTGTACAAGAGGGCTCGGTCACTCGGGGGCTGACTGACATCAGCTGTCAAACGTACTGGTCACTCGGGTGACTTAGCACAGTGGTGCTACTCAGGTCTGGCTCAGACCTCACTGGTCACACGGAAACTTTAAGCACACCCGCGGTACATGCGGTACAACATGGCTTAAACTAGCAAATGATGCTTTTCTGTGCATAAAACTGACACTAAGACATATACTAAAATGTGAGAACACTGACTGAGAGGAATTAACACATGACATTTATCTTCTCTTAGTCTTCTCGGAGAATTTCGGCAAATTTCGGCTGGATCCTGCTTGTACCTGAGTCTGGATGCTCAAACGTGCAGACACGACATCAGGATAACTCGTTGAGAGACGGATGCTTCTTGCATGGGGTGATGAAGTGAAGATGATTTCATACCTCTTCCTTCCTCTCTCAGGGCAAACACAACTGCTGCGACCACCGCTTTCCACCATTTATAAAAAAGGATTATTTGGTAGTATGGTAGCGGGGAGTAAATGATAACTTCTTCTTCGGAGGCTTCTTACTTTATTGTTAAGTCATGGTGGGTACACAGGCTTGTGTGTTTGTGCCCATGGCCCGGGCAGGGCCATCCCACGAGAGAGAGCTGGGAGTACTTGTGTCTTCCTGCCTGGCCTTGCCACGCTCTCACTCTCACAGCGGCCTAGCAGGAAGACACAAGTACTCCCAGCTCTCTCTCGTGGGATGGCCCTGCCCGGGCCATGGACACAAACACACAAGCCTGTGTACCCACCACGACTTAACAATAAAGTAAGAAGCCTCCGAAGAAGAAGTTATCATTTACTCCCCGCTACCATACTACCAAATAATCCTTTTTTATAAATGGTTCAATGATAGACGTCTTCTTCGGAGGCTTCTTACTTTGTTAAGTCGTGGTGGGTACACAGGCTTGTGTTGTGCCCATGGCCCGGGAAGGGCCATCCCACAAGAGAGAGCTACTAGTACTTGTGTCTTGCTGCTAGGCCGCTGTGTGAATGAGAGCGTGGCAAGGGCCGGCAGGCTGGCATGCCCACCGAGAGGCCTGGCTACAGAGGGCAGCATCTGAGTGGCGCGAAATATGAACTAAGCTGGCAGACAGCATGGGCTGTCTGTGCAGACAGTACAGGCTGTCTACATGACTGACTTACTGGGTGACTTGACTGAATGACTTACTGAGTGACTTGACTGAATGACTTGACTGAGTGACTTACTGAGTGACTTGACTGACTTACTGAGTGACTTGACCGAATGACTTACTGAGTGGCTTGACTGACTTACTGAATGACTTGATTAACTGAATGACTTAAAGTTAGACACTTCAGTACAACCATCGACTTCAGTACCAAAACCTCTACCATCCACCTCAGCCCAGTAGGACCACAACATAACTCTCCACTCTCTTCACAATCATCCACAAACACCAACACCCACAATTTAAGGCAAGAAATACAGTGGACCCTCGGCTAACAATATTAATCCATTCCTGAGAGCTCATCGTTAGGTGAAATTATCGTTAGCCGAATTAATTTTCCCCGTAAGAAATAATGTAAATCCAATTAATCCGTTCCAGACAGCCAAAAGTATTAAAAAAGATTTTTTTTTTTTCATGAAATATACATTTCCCTACAAAGAAAATAATGAGACATGCACAACAACTATATAAATAAATGTTAAAATGACACTTACCTTTATTGAAGAGTACTGATGAGTGATGAGACACTGTTTTTCTTGAACACTGGGATTTTCAGAGTGATACATGAGTAAAGGCTTCACTTTGCAATCCCCACTAGCATAACAACAAAACAAGAAAGTTAGCCTGTCTTTCATAGGCTTGTGTCCTGGGAGTGCCTTTTCCTCCTGAGTAATGTAAGTCCTGTTTGGCATTTGTTCCTGAACAGGCCTGTTTTGTCACAATTGAACACTTGTTGGGGTTGGAATTTTTCAGCTTCAGATTCTTAAATCTCTCAAACCAATCTTTGCTGGCCTTAAATTCACCAATATGACCACTAGTACCAGGCATTTTTTTCCTGTTCACCTGGGTGTTAGTCGACTGGTGTGGGTCGCATCCTGGGGGACAAGATTAAGGACCCCAATGGAAATAAGTTAGACAGTCCTCAATGACTCACTGACTTTCTTGGGTTATCCTGGGTTGCTAACCCTCTGGGGTTAATTGTTTCTCAGTAATTGTGTCTCGTTAAGCCACACCAACAACTGTCTCTCCACATCTTCGAGTACTACAGCTGACTGTGGTGCAGCAACAGCTGACCATGGTATGATAGTATTTCTCACCCTTTTTACCACAGGGTTGGCACTAGAAGCTTTCTTTGTAACTGTGAAATAAGCAGTTACAAGCACTATAAACAATGGAATAATACAAAATGTATCGAATGTATGCATGAAACCGGCCACCCTGGCTTGTAAACAATGACGGCAGGGCAGCTGAGGCGGTCAGCCTGGACGGACAGGTTCGGGACGAATCATGTCAGGTGAGTTTTTTTATCGTTAGCCAGGCCAAAATTTTTATGCTCAAACGGTTCGTTGGACGGATTTAACGTTATGTGATGCGTTCGTTAGCCGAGGGTCCACTGTACTATTATTTCTGTTACATTTGTAGTCTTAAGCAGTAAAAACAACATAATACATCACAACACTGAACTACAACTGCATATTCACTTTCATTTTTGTAAGATGTGGAGGCTTAAAAAAAAAGTTGTTTGGCTTTTTGGGGGCTCCCAGGAATGTAACCCTATTTTTTCCATAAGTTCTTCAGTTTATCTAACACGATTTTACCTAACACGGCATTTTCAGGAACGTAACTCCCCTGCTAAATGACAGTTTACTGTAGGTACAGTGGTACCTCAAATTTTGAACAGC